CATCCCATCATACAAATAACATCTTTATACTTACTATGCTTTGCACATATAAGTACTTAAAAGATATTTAATTTACTAACTTTCAAGGTTACTTGTTAAGATTATAGTCAAAACTCCAATATTTGCTTTTAAAGTAATCTACAAAAAGACTATATGTGCTCAGCCCTGCCTGAGATTTTCTTGGAAACTTCAGGATTAATTTTGACATGAATTCATTTGATAGGATAATCAGCAAGGATGCAAAAAAAAAAAAAGAAGCTTGGAGATAAAAGCAAAGAAAGAAATATAAGTAAAAGGCATCATGCTCATTCAAAATGACCCCTAAAATGATAGAAAACAACCACAAACAAATGAAAACTTTTCTGAAAGAAACAAAGGAAACTATATTCTAGGAAGCTAAGAAGCCAGAGCAGGTTCTCTCCCTGCTACCTGGAAGTCAGTCAAATCTCTCTGTAGAAAAACGGAAATAAACCCTTAGGGCATCAACATCTGGAGTGGGGTATATCAGAGAAGTCCTCCATAGGAGTCAAAGAGGAAAGAAAAACATGGTGCTTAGAAGAAGAATTAAGTTTGTCATCCAGACACTTAAGACAAGGAGAAGAGAGAAATTAGGGGAAAAGCTGAAAGGGGCTGTTCTCATAGGAATTTCATGTGATTCAAGGTACAAATAATTCATTGGGGCATATGTGACAGAGTGAAGCACAGTTTGGAAGAAAGGTATTCTCTCCTCTTCTGAAAAAGCCCAGTGTCATTCTGCTACTTTGAAAATTTAGAGGCATTGGGACCTTGGCATGTCCATCTCCAGTCTTAAAAATGGGCATCTTTGGCAGTTACCTTCTACATACCAACTAGATGAAACCAGGCAAAGTGGAAAAACATGGCAGATAGACTAGTTTGGGAGGGTTGATGAGTCAAACATCAGAAACTTCAAAAACTGGAGATGAAGGGAAGAGCAGAAGAGAAGCTTTACAGGAAAATCTTCATTCTATAAAAAGTAAGTGAGGGCCATTACAAGAACCCTTGATTACTGCTACTAACGGAACTTCTTCTGAAGTTTCAGCCACTGATGAAGAGGTAGGAGGCCAGGGAATCAGATGACATAGTAAGACAAGCATCAGGGCTATATGGTCGATGCTCAAGGAAACTGGAAACTGTGAGGGCCCACAGAGGCTAGAGTATTATTTTGAGACTAGTTTGTGGTTTGGAAATTGGAAGGATCCCTTAAAACCATGGTAACTAGGAAACCTTATTGTCCCTCAACAGCATGAGTTTGTAGATCCAAACTTGAAAATTGCTCCAACAGAACTCTCCTCTATATCTCTACTTCTTTCTGTGTATTGCTTGGTTTTCCACATGATATAACTGTGTAATGCTAGGTAACTGCTTAACTATACCCAAAGTCAATTCCCAAAGGAGAGGATGGCAATATGACCAATTTACCATCACACCCAAGAGGCAGAGCTCTCATGCCAGACTGCCTCACAGGCTTCTTGCCAACCTATAATTGTCAATAAGTCAGTTGCCCACCCTGATAAGGTCAGATGTGATCAGAGTGGAAAGGTGACAAATCAGATGGAGACTTAACAAAAAAAGAACCCCTGAAAAGGAAGCAATGGAAAGATAATGGTTTTCAGGGCTGTTCACAAATATTCCCATCCTCCTGGGCACAGAACAAGATCACACATCTATCATCCCCATTGACCACATGACTTGCTTTGACAAAAGCAATGTGAGTGGAACTGACATATGTCACATCCAGGTGGACAACTTAGGAGCCTTTGCATGACTCATAGTGTTCCCTTTTCCTGTGGTAACCATAGTGGAAATAAATATTGAGATGGAATATACATTAACCTGGGTCCCTGAGTGCCTGAATTTAGCAGGGACCTCCCAGCCAACTCACTTTAAACATGTAGTTTGAGCAGGAAATGAACCTTTGTTAAGCCAAAATCACTGCAGATGGTGATTGCAGCCATGAAATTAAAAGACGCTTACTCCTTGGAAGGAAAGTTATGACCAACCTAGACAGCATATTAAAAAGCAAAGACATTACTTTGCCAACAAAGGTCCGTCTAGTCAAGGCTATGGTTTTTCCAGTGGTCATGTGTGGATGTGAGAGTTGGACTATAAAGAAAGCTGAGCACCGAAGAACTGATGCTTTTGAACTGTGGTGTTGAAGAAGACTCTTGAGAGTCCCTTGGACTACAAGGAGATCCAACTAGTCCATACTAAAGGAGATCAGTCCTGGGTGTTCGTTGGAAGGACTGATGTTGAAGCTGAAACTCCAATACTTTGGCCACCTGATGCAAAGAGCTTACTCATTTGAAAAGACCCTACTGCTGGGAGGGATTGGTGGCAGGAGGAGAAGGGGACAACAGAGGACGAGGTGGTTGGATGGCATCACTGACTCAATGGACATGAGTTTGGGTAGGCTCCGGGAGTTGGTGATGGACAGGGAGGCCTGGCGTGCTGCAGTTCATGGGGTCACAAAGAGTAGGACACGACTGAGCGACTGAACTGAACTGAACTGAAGCCTCAGAGATTTGAAGGTTGCTTTATCACAGCATAACCTAGCTTATGCTGACTGATAAAAAATTGAGCAGACATTCTTAAACTTGACCCAATGCATATTATAGAGTATATAAAAGCCATCCCTAAGGGACTCCCAGAAATAGATGTGAAACACTATCAAAGTGGAAACCACGAAAAGGCTAAGAGGTCCTACAAGAGTTAGAGGTAAGAGACAGAGTAATAATGTTTATTACTATTGATCTAACTCTATATTTACCACTTGAAAATATAAAATATATTTATGTCAGAAAATTTATTTGAATCTTTGCCCCCTCAAAAGATCTTCTGTCTTCATTGGAGATAACATTATAAGGAGCTTGTTATTGTTCTTATCTTAAGGGGTTTTAAATTAACTCTTCTGGCTCACATTCTACAAGAATCTGACACATACCAAATTATGTTTTGTGGCAAATAAGATTATAGACAGGTCCATTATGTAACAACTGTAGCATGCTTTAGCATTTATATCTCCTTCAGAGAGTATACAACACAGAGATGTAAATTCTTTTCATCATAATTCTGCATAAATAGACTTCCTGCACTGCACTGTCAAACTTGGATCTTGAAAGTGATAAAGTACAGATGCCTACAGTTGCAATCATAAAAATGTAATTGCTGAGAAAAAAATTATTTCTGATCCATTGAAGGAATTTATTACAGAAGGATGCAACTGCGTAAGTTATCACACACAGAAAATGAAAGTGAATGACTGAAATATATCCCAGCCTGAACATCCCTGCAAAATGACCTAGTGATTTACCTGTGCCCAAAAGAAAAAAAAATAGATTAAAGATAAATCAAGTTTGGTAGGAAAGATTGGTAACTATAAAAAGAGCTGAATAAAGATTTATGAATCAATGAATTTAGAAGTCAGAGTGACATAATAGTATCTATGACCAATTACTCCAAAAATTAAAATGTAATTTTGACTTTGAGTTATATACAGAGATGGTAAGTAATTTCTGTGGAACCTTGAAAGCAAAGGAATATAACATGAAGATAAATAATGATGAAATGTGAGACTTTTTTAATGGGATTACTAAATGATAACTTTATCTGCTGGCATTATGAACTTAAAGATCATTAACTTCTTTTGGAATGTTTTCCACTATAATCAGAGACTATATTACATGCTTAAAATAAACAATGTAACTATTTCAAATTAAACACTCTTTGAAAAAAAAGAATGTGATGAGATATTTAGTATGATGCTATTCTAGTAAAAAATCTTTAATTTAATGGAATTTTTATTGTATTGATAGGTAATACATGATCAAAGTGACAAGAAGGTTGCTCATCAAATCCAATTAATGACGCTGACTTTGAAATATACTGGTTTTTTGTCAGGAAAATCCCATTATAATGAAAATCAAGAGCTTGGGCAAATAATTTTGTTGTACAAAAATTCTCTTTTTAACATGAGACCATTCTGTGGGTTGCAAACACAGGGACCTCAGTGAAGTTTCAGAGTCATCTAATATCAATTTCATATAAGATATCAGTGTCTTATAGACTGTCAAAGTTCATGATTAAGCTATCATCAGTGAGGCACATGTTTTAAATTGTCTTTCCAGTAGGAGATATGCTAAGTAAAAATATGTACAAAGCTTATTCTTAGAGCTACTCTCCTCCCCACCATCCATCTCACAAAGAAGACAAACAGAAAGTGTTTAAATTATCAGAGGTAAGGTCAGTGTCATTTCTCACTTAAGAAACCCTAGAGTACTTCAAGGCTTAGAAAAAGGGACAATCTGTTTTAGGGGCTATGATGGAAGGTAAGCCTAAAGAGGAGTTTTCTCACAAATTTGGGGTTAAAAACAAAAAATCTAAATCTATACTATAGTGTAAGTTTCTCCAAGCGCTGCTCTAAGAAAAGCCAATAAATAAAACCTGGGCTTACATAATAAAGTCAGAGAATCATTATGCCTATTACCAAGGAATTATTCACTTTATGAAAGATTTTATCATAGAATAACTTAAATATCTGCTTTTCTCATACATTTTGGTATTTTTAAAATAATTTCCTATTTGACAGATGAGCCACCATGTGCTCTGAGGCACTGAAATTCTCCAGGCTGTTTCCAGCTGTTTCTGCTTCTGTGTAATAAGAATGGTTTTAACCATGCTGCCTGCCTCACTCAGTTTTCATGACAATTGAACAAGATAACTTGCATAAAGGTACTTTCAAAACTGCATATGCATATTATTGCTTTTTTGATTTTTAAAGAGAATCTGTGGAGGAACTTTCAGAATGTTATCATTATTATTACTAAATAGATACTTTGGTACACTTTAAAACATTTTAAAGGACAATTTTGGATAACATATTCATTCTATAAAAATCAAATCTTTCCATTATTTATTTTTCCTATGTTTCTTAGTACTTTTGCAGTTACTATTACTCATTGTAATTTCCATGTTATCAATACCTGGATTATGAGAGGCTCCAGTAGCTTCTCTACAGTGAATGTCTGGACCCGCAGATCCTGAGGATTGATACTCAGTGTGATTGGTGTTTCAGCTGACATGCTGCCTGTGCACAAAAACAAAAAGACATTTACTAATAAAGAAAAAATACTTTCTAGAGGAAAGCACTAATGAAAATCATAGCATATGTGCAATTAGTATTCAAGCGCCTCCTCCTGCTATCAGCTGTAGTCCTCAGAGGACAAAGGTTTCAAGTCTACCAACAGAGAAACAAGATATTCCCGACTGTTTTTTCAGGTCATGTTTCTGGGCTTGGGTCCTTTAACAAAGTAATTTATGCTGGTTTGTTCATGACTAAAATTATAACCCAGCCAAGGCGAGTTTGCATTTGATCAGGAGTCTTAAGTAAAAAATGAATGGCTGAGTTAGTGAGAGATATCTTGCAGCAAACACATGCTTTGACTTCCATGAAATCATAAGCACTAACGCAGCCAGAGGCCATATTTTGCCTGTTGTTAATGATCATTCAGATGAGGAATCAGGTAGGACTTTGGAAGACATGATACATCTCTCTATTTGGGGAATCATTTGAGGGTTTTGGAGAAGGAAATGGCAACCCACTCCAGTATTCTTGCCTGGAAAATCCCATGGACGTACGAGCCTGGTAGGCTACAGCCCATGGGGTCACAAATAGTCAGACATGACTAAGCAACTTCTGTCTCTCTCTCTCTCTCTCGGGTTTTGATTTGGAGAAGAAAGTTTTGGGCAATTTACTTTCCTTTACAGAAAAGAAACTAACATAAATTGGCATAGTTATTATAAAAAGAAAGGCAAATCTTCATATTTGGGCAAGACAAAATAAGAAAAACATTACAAACCATTCTTTCAGATCTTAATATAAATCTTAAATGTCAGTCCAGTGAGATTTTTTAAAAAGAATACATATATAGCAAGTGACCATGGATAGAATTTCATAACATATTCAAAGTAACACATCAGCCATGAAGACTATCACCCAAATTTCTAAGCCCACAAATCTATATTAACTTATTCACAGTCAATAATCACCCAGCAAGTATTTACTGGAGGTTCACAGGATAACAGTAAGAAACACATCTGTCCTATATATAACTTGGTCTATTATTAGCCTATAAACTATTATAGTCTATAGAAGTGTGTGTTACTATCAATGCACAAATCTTTCCATTTAGTTGTTACATATTTTCTTTCAAAGTTTCTTCCAAATTTTCTTCCAAGTTTCTTATTTTCTTACAAAGTCCATTTGTAAAACCAAGGTTTGTTCTGGTTTTATGAATGGACTAAGGATAGATAGATAAATGAGTGAAAGGAAGAATGACACATTTTCATGAAATCATGTTTTATCCCAGAATCAGTCCTTTCAACACTCCTCTCAATCGCAGGGATTCTAGGAAAGAATAGTGTTCTTTTTTCTATACCTCTGCCTCCAGCCCCTAAGGGCAGTCAGAATCACAGGGTAGGGCCCATATTCCCTCCAACTCCTTGCCCTGAGAGTCTACCCCTCTTCTCCTCCTACTTTTCTCAGCTCCCACTGTTTTAGTTCCACAAAATCAGCATCTCTCTGCCCTTCAGCCTCTCACGCTCTCTCAAATCCTTCCCCTGGATCCATAAATGTTGTAGTGTATATATCCAAAGATAATCATGATCTCTTCATGTACATGTAACTGAAAAGATCAGTGCTTCACTAAGCCTACACTATATGCCTAATACATGCCCAGACAGAGAGAGATGCACAAACAAAACCACCCTGTACAAAAAAAAATCTTGCTTATTAGCTCTTTTCTTGATGTAATTTAATTCTTAGATAATAATAATTTGTTAAATAGAGGCAAATACTATAGAGCCTAGAAACCTTATGGCTCTCCAAATATATGCCACATGGCTACATTCATTCCATGACTCTCTTACTACAAAAATGGATATGTGAAGTATTCTTGAGAAAAATAAGAATCTGCCGAAGACTGTCTCCAGTGACTCAACAGAGAAATTTGTACATATACTCAAAATTGTGATTTCAAATAAGCTTATAATCAAACATACTCATAATTAATATTTACAATTCTTTCATATATCTTATTAAAAACAAGGATAATTATGCTGAAAATTTCAAATGAAACGATTATGACAAATCTAATAAAAGCATTTAAGTACAATTACATCTCCAAAATTGAGTATACTACTAAAAATACTAACACTGTACATACTAATCACTTTGTGTATAGTATCAAAACATTTTCTAGTTAACTGACAAAACTGTTTGGAGATCAAGGCAATAATAGGCATCAAACTGCAGAATTTTGCAAATGAAGTCAAAGCAAGGTCAAAGTCTGATGAGTTTTTACCAACCTTTTGTAGCCATAATGCAATGTGAATCCAAAACAAAAATCCTGCTAGGGTATGGGTATTATAACCCAAGGCAATTGCATTTTATAATTCACAAAATTTTAAGAGTTACAAAGTACCTCCGAAATAATTCAAGGACACCTCCTGCAGCATCCTTCATTTCAACAATGTACTGGGAAATGAGATGCTCACTATACCATTAGATACGAGTGATTACTTTTATAAAGTTCTTCCTCATGTTGAGTTGAAATCTGAAACTTTTTAACTTCTAACCACTACAGATAGTTTTATAAAGTGGGAAAGGTTCAGGTTTAGAAACAAGCAGACTAGATTAAACCCCAATTTTCAGAATTTAAGGGAGGAAAGCAAATCTCTTGACAGCAGTAATAGATGTCTCCAGGGATAGTCTGTAAGGCGGAGCAAAGTATCATGTTGATACTTCCTTTCTCCCCAGATTGCCTTTGTCCATATGCCTCAATTTCCTTTACTCCACTTTATTCCTTGCTTTAAATTGAGCTTGTAGCAATTTAAAACTCATTCAGTTTAACAAGTGTTTCACTTTTAAGTGAAGTTAACTCTGAGAGGCCTTGGGGGATACACATTCTATTATGCTTCAGAAGAGTCCATGAGACCAAGGTGATGTGTCCTCCCAGAGCTCATATATACCAACCAAGGTGATGTGTCCTCCCAGAGCTCATATATACCAACCAAGGTGATGTGTCCTCCCAGAGCTCATATATACCCTTTCTGACACACTCAGTACCCCCGACTCTCTACTTAGTCCAAGTCCGCTTCCAATGCCTATGCCAGCCTCTTTCTGCAACCCAAACTTCTAAGTGCAAATGACAACATGGCCACCCCTATACCTGAGGGGCAGCCAAGACACAGCTGTTTACTGATGAGTATTATGGAGCTCAGACATGCAACTTGTCCATTTGCATGTACCCAAGGCCTCTCAAGTACAAGGTAGAGCCAGAAGTAGAAAGGAAAGGAAGCTGACCATCAGGGTCAGCTCCCTGTCCATCACCTCATTCTAACAGGAAACGTCAAGGAATACCAGAATTCTAAATCCAGATCTATATCTTTCAGGTCAGTTTGAAGGTATATTTCTCAAGGTAGAAAGATAAGAGGATAAAACCTATTTTACCAACTTGTTAGCTTGATTTGTAGCTTTCACATATGTAAGTATGGTATGCAGGCCTCCATGTATATTTTCATTCTGCTCACTACAAATGTTAAGGATAGAACTACCCAAACTTTCTAGCACTCCATATCACCAAGTTCTTCCCTTTTAGTCAGATTTAGTCAGCTCTTTCATTCTATCCTCAATCTTCTAAAACATGGAGTTAACACAGAGGTACGGTAAAAAGTCATCAGTTCTTCCACGTTTAGGAAAAGACTTTCAAGCTTCGGCAACAAAATTACTTCTCTTTTCCTCTCTGTTTCCCCCTCATTCAAATGCTCTCTGTTATCACTTTTTCCTTAAGTTTACTTGTTTCCATGAAAGAGTTATTCACTGCATATATTTCTTTACTCCTCTTATTAAAATTATTTTTGTGAACATTCAGCATTACATTCATGAGAAAATAAACAATTTAAATACTCAAAAACACAAAAAAATTTATAATTTATTGATATCTATGAAGATTACTTAAACTGCTTTTCCATGTGCCTATTTATTATTACTTATTTATTATTGACCCTCTCTCATGTGATTTTCTCTAGATAATCATTATGCATCATCTATATTAACACGGTTCTTTCTATGCCCTAATTATTGTCATAACATTAACACACATACACATACATATGTGTGTGTACACATTCACATGACTTTGATGGCTTTATCTGAGAATAGATTTCTTTCCTTCAACTTTAAAGCGCTTTGATGGTGTCAACAATTCTTCTACCAAAAGTATCTTTGGGCTTCATGATATCCATTCAGGATCTCATTTAGTGAATAGAAAAGGGAAATACTTTTAGTAGGTCACAATCCCCACCATCTTCAGTGGTAAAGAATCTGCCTGCCAATGCAAGAGATGTGGATTTGATCCCTGGATCAGGAAGATCCCCTGGAGAAGGAAGTAACAACCCACTCCAGTATTCTTGCCTGGGAAATCCCATGGACAGAGGAGCTAGGCAGGCTACAGTCCATGGGGTCACAAAAGAATTGGACATGACTTAGTGACTAAACAACCGATCATCTCAAATGTTTATATTAGCTGACACTGTACTTCCAAAATATCAGAAGAAAGGGTGAGCAAGTAATTAAGAATTTTCAAGTACTGAGATAGTTTCATGAAAGAGAACATTTAGGTCCCATTTGTTTATTTTTGCTTTTATTTCCAATATTCTTGGAGGTGGGTCATAGAGGATCCGGCTGTGATTTATGTCGGAGAGTGTTTTGCCTATGTTCTCCTTTAGGTGTTTTATAGTTTCTGGTCTTACATTTAGATCTTTAATCCACTTTGAGTTTATTTTTGTGTATGGTGTTAGAAAGTGTTCTAGTTTCATTCTTTTACAAGTGGTTGACCAGTTTTACCAGCACCACTTGTTAAAGAGGTTGTCTTTTTTCCATTGTATATTCTCACTTCCTTTGTTGAAGATAAGGTGTCCATAGGTTCGTGGATTTATCTCTGGGCTTTCTATTCTGTTCCATTGATCTATATTTCTGTCTTTGTGCCAGTACCATACTGTCTTGATGACTGTGGCTTTTGAAA